ACTTCACTGACCAACAGTTCATTATAGAACATCTCATTGACTTAGAGTCGAAATATTCTAAACTTTACAACAAACACAAAAAGTTGAAAGGAAAACAAAAACAAATGGCATATGATATTTATGAAGATGTTGACGACACAACTGTTCCTGCAAGTGAGGTAAAGTCAGAGGAACCGAAAAGTGACGAAAAACCGATAGAAGAAGGGAACCAAAAACTGAAGATAAACCAAAACCAAAGTTAGTTTCAAACTAAACCAAGTCAACCTTCATTAGCTGGTATGGGTTGGCGTCAAAGACTTATGGCAGCAGGTGGTTATGTTAAGTAAAGAAAAAAACATTTTTTTATTTTTATAAAAATGCCCCCATATAGAATGGATAGAAAATCTGCTAGAATAAAAGCAGAGTTAGAAAGATATGGTTGGAAAGTTTCGAAGAATTTTAAATATAGGAAGGGAAGACCCATAAAAGTCTATGACAAATTGTCTGGTCTTCGCTACGAAATGGATTGGAAACAGCACGCGCAAATTATCCAAACAGACTAGAGAGGTTAGAAGAAGAACGTCTTATGGACATGCCTTTCGATGTTCTGAACCTCAAGTTGAAGGACACGACGGCTTTGCCAGATTCTACTGGAAACATGACGAACAATTGCATCCTTTGAGAAGGAAAAAAGGAAAAGGTGAAGACAAACATGCTCCCATGGAAAGAACAAGATATGCATATGAAAAGTACCGTGAAGTTAGAAGTCAAATTACATCTGGTCGAACCTTTACAGTAAACTTTGACGAAGGAAAGAACAAAGAAGGCTTCATGGGTGTACTTGCTGCCATACAAGACGGAAATAAGAAAGGATACAATCTCAGACTAACCATAACAGATTTGGACGGTCACATTTACTATGCACATGGCAATGTCACAACAGCGCACAACTTCTTGACGCTTTCAAGACTACAAAGAGAGAACAAATGGTTGACTCCGACTCAGACATTTTGAATGCAATTGAAGGAATTGCAAGTGTAAAATTTGAATGGTACCAACCTAACCCTCAAGCAGTCAGACAACATGCTGGATACTTCCCGTTCATAAATAAGTCTGACATTGACTTGACAAGGTATGGAATTTACAATTCAATTGAAACAATTGTCAATGAACCTTGTATTCTTACATGTCTCAGGAACTCTGGTCTTGTTACAGATGAGAAGATGAAGTATCTTGAGTCATGTGTGAAGACAAGGTACATTCTCAGAGGTCAATTGGCAAAATTGCACCGTTGGCAAATGTCAATATCCGAGTCAACATACCTACAGCTAAAGGTTCTTCACATGACGACTATGTTGTTGACAAAGACTTACCATGGTTGAAGATTGTAATTGTCCACAACCACTTCATGTTGAACGAAAGTCTTACAAACCCATTGTTCGGAAAAGGCAAGTGCAACATTGTCAGAGCTGTTAAACATTCTTTTCGAGAAAGGTTTGTTGGAACCAATTCCAGATGACAAGCTGACAGAAACTTTTGTACCAAAAGACGAAACAAACTTTTCATTGTTAGCAAGACCAAAAGTTGTTCCAGACAAAGTTCTAGTACAAAAGAAGTACACAATTCCAAAAGGAGTTGGATTGTTCGGATACCAACCTGAACCAGAAGAACTTCCAATGAGGTTGCAAGAACTTCAAGATGCTATAAACAAACTTCCATTGAGACATCCAATTGACGTCAAATTGTATTGGAGAGCATCTGAGTTAGGTCAGAAGGTTTTATATGAAACAGGTTGCTTCGACGATGTTTATGAGATAACAGGAGAAGTTTCTCAGAAGATAAGAGACTCACTTGAATTTCCACGAACTGGTCCGATTGGATGCGACAAGTTCGACTCAGATGAAAAGATATACTATGTCGACCTTAACGCTGCGTACATGAGGTTCGTCCAATATATCCCGACTGGAATTCCAAACGAAGATGGTGAGTTCCCGGGAAGGAACTATACAGTTGGAAAAGTCATACAACAACTGTATGATATTAGGAAAGCTTCAAACCCCAAACTTGCAATGACACTCAAATTGCTTATGAATTCGACATGGGGATATTCCATTAAAAAACCTCAAGAGATGAAGAGTAAACATTATGAGAAGGTCGACAACTTTGTTGAAAGGTTTTCTCCTTTTGTTTTGAAGTACGAATTCACTCAAGGTCAAAGTGGCTTAGTAACCACATTAAAACCTATTGTCGAACATTGGTCTTACCCTCAGTTCGCAAAAGCAGTCCTTGACAACTACAACAAATTCTTCTCCGAAGTCAAATCGAAAGTGAAGGTTTACTATGAGAACATTGACGCACTCATGACGAACGAAGAAGGGTACAACAAACTCATTGAAATGGGAATGGTCGGTGAGAAGATGGGTCAATTCAAATTGGACAAAATTTTCACCGAAGTTCATGTCCTCTCCAAGCGTAAGTACTGGGGCATACTTGAAGACGGCACAGAAATAAAACATTGCATGAAATAAAAAATTTTTATATTCCTTCCTAGCTAATTTCCGTTTAATTTCATGGTCGCCCTCGGAGTCTTTGAATCGGACAGGTCGAGTTACACCATTCTTGGTCTCAAACTCATATATAACCTGTTTGTCTGTATTTTCGTCGACTATGGCACGAGACACGAACATTGACCAAACGGACAAAAAGTGTCATTTCGGATGGTCACGCAGCCAATCGCATTCGAGCACTTCGAAGAAGCCTTACGTTCCAAGGGAGAGGGTGTCTGGTGCAAGGCAGAGGTCATGAGACTCTACGAGCAGTACATCCTCAATGCCTGGGAGGACAAATCGTCCTTGGATTGGCAAATCTACCAACTCCTCTGGGACGACCTCCTACGCAACTGGGAGAACGAAAGAGTCCAATTCAAAGGTCGGGAACTAATTTTGCAAATTGACCTTAATTTCACATACTTATCCAAATAAACACCTAAATTTACTTGGGGTTTCCCCCTAAAATAAAATTTTTTTACTCTTAGAACCACTCGAGGTTCTCCTTACGGTTGTTGAGCTTGTCACCGTCAATGTGTCTGACCCTCGTCTTCTTGTCTGGATTTGGAACCCATTGAATTGCGACAAGCTTGCCCATGGAAATTGAACCGCGATTCCGAAGGTTAAGGTTCAAGTGTCCCAAGTTGTTGAGGACTGGGGTAAGAACCTTGCCGGTCTCCTTGTTGCGGATTTGGTATGGGTAGGGTTGGGAAATTTCGTAAGTGTCATCGGCAACAAGGGTTGCCCATGTAGCGGCTTCAGGAACTTCTTCTTCTTCCTCTTCTTCCTCTTCTTCCTCTTCTTCGTGTTTCTCTTCTTCCTCGACAATTCCTTCGGCAATTCTGTGTTCACGAAGTACGGTGTTGGAGGTTCTGTCCTTTCCGAGTACCTTCCAGATGGCATCTATCTCTTCGAAGAAACGGTAGATGAGTCTGGCAAGGTCTCGGTTCTCTCTCGCGTAAATGCGCAAGGTTTCCGTCAAATCGTTCAGGACTTTCTCATTGGAAGCTTGGTTCATGAGGAACTCACCTTTAAGTCCCTTCATCTCTTCCATAAGACTACTTTGGAGAGTCTTAACGGTGTTTGTCAGATGAGCTTTCAAATTCAAAATTTGAATTTGAACTGGGCGCTTGTCTGGCAACATTGAAAGGACATCTGCCATTGTGTTCGGCTTCGGTGCTTGTTCGGACATCGAAAAAATGAAGTGGTTTGAGAATGACGGTTTTACTTCAAAAAGCTTGTTATGACGGTTAAGTCATACAACAAGTTTAAAATAATATCTTGTTCTTCTTCTGAACGTTTGTTGTCTCTTCCGATAAAAGTTTCGAACATGAGAACCAAAAAACGTTTTTTGAGATTGCGGAAGAGTTCAGGCAAACGTTCATATTCTGGATATGTTGGGAGCAGTTCAAAACATCTGAGCTGACTTTCGGACAAAATTGGGACAATGTCAGAAAATTCATCTTTGGTCGGACTGCTTGAAGGTAAGTCCCTTACATGTAAGTAGCTCTGGTAAAGTCTTCTCATTTCTGCTAACTTTTGGAGTATAGCTTCGTAGTTTAGAAGTTTTAATTTTAATTGTCTTATTCCACTCTTTACTTCTAAACGGTAAGTATCCATGAGGTCAAGAGTAGCTTTGGTAGCTTTAAGTGGAGCTATTTGTTCCTTGACTTCTGCAATTTTGGTTGCAATTGTGGTTTGAGCTCCTTCAAGTTCGCCGTCTATGTCGTTCTCAACGCCTTCAACCATGGCTTGAAACTCTTCATCGGTCCATTGAGATTGGTGTGGACGAATTTAACTTGCTTCATTCAAAAAATGAAAAAAAATGTTTTTACTCAAAACGTTAAGGTTGACTGAACTGGTTGGATGTCGCCTTCACAGGTTATGTAGAACGGCTGACCCGAGAAGTGAAGGAGAGACTGAATTGCCAATTTCATATGGGGTAGGGGGTTCTCCTTGTTTGGTATTTTTATCCAAGGACGTTTGTTTAGGAACTTAACAAGAGCTTCTCTTTTGGCGTCCTTTATGTCGTCGTAGGCTGTCCCGTCTGGTATTTGAATTGGAATTCCAGTCGAAGTCTCGAGCTGAAGTGTAGACCTTCCAGAAATAGTGGTGAACTTGACCTTGGGCTTCATTACCCTGCGCAAGTACTGCTTAACAACTTCATTTATCTCTATAAGGTAAATTGCCTCGTCAAATCCTTCTGGTATTCCGAGTCCTTCCATCCGACAGGAAAATATTTTCCCGACAACTGGAAAAAATTTTCCTTCCGACAGGAAGGACTCTTCCAGTTGTCCGTCCGTAAACCATTCAAATTTTCGAAAATTGAGAACTTTTGGTCGAACTTCAGAAAAAGTTTTTCCTTCCGACAGGAAAATTTTTTCCTTCCAACAGGAAAAGTTTTTTCTTCCAACAGGAAAGGTTTTTCCTTCCGACAGGAAAGGTTTTTCCTTCCGACGGTTAAGCCACAAACAGATGTCCGACGTACCACCAACCGAGCCCATTCCCAAACCAGAGGAACCTAAAGCACCAGCCCCTGCACCTCAGCAACCTCAGTTCCAGCAAGTCCCTCCACCAAATTACTACCAATTTCCACCTCAAGGTTACTACCTACCACAAGGCTTCCCGAACTACCCTCCTCCTCAGCCTATGCCTTACTTCCCCAACCCTTGGATGTTTATGCAAAACCCTGCCCCACAATTCCAATCTCAATCCAAGAGAGACCAAGAGTTCGAGGAAGGTCTGAACCGCTTACGCAAAGAGTATGCTACTACCCCAATGGAAGAAGACAGGCTTTCAGTCTCTTCCCTCAAATCGACCGATTCGACTCGTACCACAGATTCGGTTCGTGACCGTGAAGACTACCTCAAGCAGTCTGAGAGACTCTTCATCCTACAACCATTTACAGTTGGAGCTCTCAAGAACATGCGCAATTACGAAGGTCAGACACCAGCTGGAGACCGCAAAACAGACGTACTCGCAAGAGCAGTCCAACTGGTCAAGACAAAGACGGAGATAGTTGACTTCATTCTTGCAGCTTGCCCATACAAGTAAAAAAATAAACAATTACGAGTTAAACTTTTTACTCTTTCTTTTCTGAGTTGTTTAGAGCTGGTTTCTCTTGTAGAAACCTTTCGTACTCTTCCATGGTCATGTAATTGCGAATTTGGTACGCAATTCCAGGTTCGTTGTTTTTGAACCTTACGTATGTAACGCTTCCATCTTCCTCAGGGAAGTAAGCTGCTAACATCTGACCAAGTTTTCTCGGTGACTCGGAGCTCATTAAAAATGTCACTTTTTAAACGTTAAGTTTTTAGTCTTATTTTACCCTTTGTTTACCCTTTGTTTACCCTTTGTTTGTCAAGGTAGTATTGGAGTGCAATTTCTCCAAATTCTCTGTGTCGGAGTTCTTCAGCATTTTCCAAGGTGTACCTGGAGAACTCAAAGAAGTTGTCAAGAAGATACTGCCATGCTGCTCTTCTGAGTTCGTCGGTATTTTGGAAGTGTTGCACCTTCGAGTCTTCGGACATGAAAAAATGACACTTTTTCAGCAAAAATATATTTTAGGGTAGATGGGTATATCTAACCTGTTTTCTAACCTCTTTTCTACCCTCTTGAATTTGTCATGAGTTTTCCCGAAATAAAAAATAAAGTTGGTTTTTTTAAAAAATATTTTTTTATTTTTATTGTAAGAACATGTTAGCAACAACAGCACCAAACTCGTTAGTCATGAATCCAACATCTATGTTAGTAGAAATGAAAAGCTTCATTCCTTCTTCATATACTTTCGAAACAGAAATCCAGAAGATAAAGCAAGAACTTCTCCAAGGAGATTTAGATTGCACTGCAAAAGATGAAACAAATGAAGAATATCTTTATGAAATGCAGGATATTATTGACCATCTACCTAAACTTCCTGAAATACAACAACAAAAGCTTACTATTCCAGAATTCGATGAAATAGAAGTCAAAGCAACTGACTCAGTAGAAATAAAGAAGTTCATACGTAAGGTTAACTATGAGTTTCTTGGATTTCATTGCAACCATAAGGTTATGGACAAAGATTGCGACATGGTATATAAGAACATCTCTGACCTTTACAAATCCGAAGAATTTAAGACCTACGACAACTTTGTTTCGTTAGTTGCAAAATGTGTTTGGGAAATAAGAGATAAAGATAGTAGGGGTAAGGTATGGAACGAACAAATAAAACCCGCAACTTTTGAGTTAAAGAGAGCAATTGACGCCTTAGTCATACTAGCAGGTAAGATTTCAATGTACAATGCTAAAATGAACCCACAATGTTCAAAATGTAAAGCAGCAATGAGGAAATATAACTACTCCGTCAAAGAGATAGAACGTATGCGAAACGACTATGCTGACTTAAAGAAAGAAGTAGAGAAACCAGCAGAAGATAAAATGGACATGTTGACATTTCTGAACAAAAACTATCCAACAGCTGACGATTTCCTTCTATCTGATGTCAAGAAGAAATATAAAGAAACATTCGGCATTGTTAAAACATTCGATGTACTGACAGAAGAAATAGAAGCTACGAAATTGTTTAGAATTTCACGAATTCACAATGTTTACCATGTAAAACGCTTATAAAATAACTGGGGTAGAAAAGAGGGTAGAAAACGGGGTAGATATACCCTTCTACCCTAAAATATATTTTTGCTGAAAAAAATGACCAAATTTCATGAAATTTCTCTAGACCGACTTTTACAGGGGTAGCCAAAACTCTATGAAAACAGTGAAAAATAACAGAGTATTTTGACAACTTCAAACAAGCAGAGTAAATGAACCATTTATTTTTATTGACTTTTTACAATTTGAACTTTGTTTGCGTAGATATGAATTCTGAAAGAAGTATGAGGGTCTTGTATGACTTTGTACTTCTCCCATAGTTCATGTCTGTCAAACTTACCTGCCATGGACTCTTTCATAAGTTCCATGAAATCGTCTTCGGACAATCCAGGGAAAAGTATGATATCAGTAAGTATTCTTTTAACATCCTTACTTAAACTCTTTGCTGTCTGTACACAAATGACAACTGAGATGTTAAAGTGTCTGAGCTTCTTAAGAATTCGACACATATCTTGTTCTCTGTTCTTTAACAAAGGATGAGAAGCAAAGTCATCTAAAATAAGAAGACATCTATGAGGGTAAGTCTTCCAATCGTACGATTGCAATTTCTTCGAAATGTATTCTATCTCTTTCTGTTTGTTTCTGAAGTGTTTCTTCTCTAATATTCTCTGCATTTCCTCATTTGGGTCTTTAAACTTCGAATTTATATACTCATTTATAGCATTGTACTTCAAAACTCTTCTTTGGTACTTCTTTATCCAATCTAACAACTCAGAGTCTTTTATACATACTAACTTAGACTTCTTTATAATATCTTTGAACGAATTGACGGTTTGGTCAAATTGACCAGAAGTACTACAAATAACAACTAACTCATAGAATGGGTTCTTCTCATCTAGTTCTTGTTGTTGTGCAGCCATTTTAAGATAAGTGAAAGTCTTACCCGACCCAGGTGGTGCAATTAGACCTGTTATACCATTCTGAGCAAATAAGAACTTGTCATGTATAGGTTTTATCTGAGCATTTTCTAACTTCCTCTTGTTCTTGTTTAAAACATTCTCAAATTTCTTGTCAATGTCAGCAAACTTTTTTTCTAACATATTTTTAGAAAAATTAAAATTTTTATCTTTTTGAAAATGTCTAGCGATTTCGCTATCTATATTCGAGACAAGCTTTTTGACTCTAAAACTTCTGTCGACCATAAAATCTTACATAGTGTAAACAAGAAAGGTGAATTTGTTCTAAAGTTCTGTTTCTGGGAATATGACAAGAACCATAAAACATTACAAAGAGCAGTCTTAAAATTTGTCAATGACAGACTTGTTGACAGAGATGACGCCGATTGGAAAGATGAAGTCCAACAAAAGTTCTTAGAATGCAAAGAAGGCACATGCGCTGTTCTTGAAGATGAAATAGAAAACAGAATAGAAGAGCTATTAAAGGACAAAGAACTTTTACATAAATATGGTTCTGAGAAATTTGACATAACTCCACCAGAAAAGAAGAAGAAGAGAGAAAAGAAAGAAAAGAAAGTAGAAGAAGAGAAGAAAGAACCAGTTCCAGAGAAGGTGAGATATGACATGTAAAAATAAAATTTTATTTTTAGAACATTTCTGGGTCAATGTCAATGTTCTCTTCCTCTTTAGGAGCAAACACTGGCTTAGACTCTAAAATCTTTTTACCCAATTTACCTTGAACTTCAACTATCTTAGACTCATAATATTCATAGTCGTCTGCTTTCTTTGGTTCATAAGGTATAACAAGTTTGTATGCTTTGCCTTCTTTAAGGTTTGAGAACCTTCTGTCAAAATTTTCTTTGACTGCTAACAAACCTTCTATGTCTAAGTCTTCAAATTTCGCACCATTTTTAGTCACAATAGCAAACTTAACTGGTTCGATGTTCCAAACTTTGCTGAATGAAGACTTTTCAAAATTGTAGAAGTAAACATTCAAATAAGCGAATGGGTCTAGTTCTTCTTTGACTTCTGTCATGTACTTATTTACTGAGATGAATTTCGTCATCTTTTCTATCGGATAAAAAAATATTTTTTTAAAATTTACTCAGAAAAAATTTTCTTTGTATATACGCCATTCTGAACATCTAAAAGATTTTTGACGTTTGCCAAGAATGTTCGTTTAGACGCTGTCATATAACCATACTCTTGACAATACTGTTTATACGAATCGTACAATGACCTTTCATCTAAACACTCAAAGTTAGTCTCATCTATAAACAGTTCATATACACTCTTGTTTGCTTCTAACAATGTTTGTCTTTCTTCGGTATGTGGAATTTGTCTTGGATTGAACTTAGAAATATCTAATGTCATGAAATATGAGAACAAGTGGTTGTAAAAGTCAGATGTCAAAGTTTCTGCTAAGTCGTCAAAATATTCTGTATCTTGCATATGAGAATCTGACGTTCTGACAACTACATATCTTCTGTCAGAACTTTCTAACTTCATCGGAACAGCATTGTTTGAAACCATAATGAAGTTTGCAACATTTTCACAAACTCTTTGGTCTTTATATTTTCTTTCAACAACTCCAACTTTGTCTGTTATAAGACTCTTCAAAGCATCTGAGTTCAAAACTTTTGTTGTATCTATACTTTGAAGTTCGTTACATACTATAAGTTTCATATTCTCTATTGAAGAGTTAAATTTACCGCAGATGTTTTCTAAGTTTGTCATATTCGGATTCGAATAGCCCTCTAACAGTTTGCACAAAATATCTGTAAAGAATGTGTTCTTACCTGTTCCTTGTTTTCCAATTATAATGAGAGCAGTTTCATTTTTAGCACTTGGATGTTGTAAGATGTTTGCAAACCAACATAAGATATACTCATAAACCTTTTCGTTTCCATTGCATATAATTTCTTTGACATGGTCTAACCAAGCTTCTATAATATTTTCTTTCCATTCTACTTGTTCATATTTATATCCAGTGAAGATAGAATAGAAGTTTGGAGAAGGTGTATAAAACTTTATACCACGAACTGAAAAATCTTCTAACTTTGACAATAAGATATCCCAAGCATCTAACATCTTCATGCCAACTTGTACGACTTTTATTTTCTTAAGTTTCTGTCTACATTCTTGTTCTGAAACTATTGTCGCTCTTGGTTTGTTAAAGACAACATCCCATTCTTTCATGACATAACATTCTGGGGCAGAGTCGACATAAATGACTAAACGTTTCAAATTCTCGACTGCTTTGTTATAGTCTCGAAATGGACACATATTTCTGAACGCTTGGAAGTCATAAAAATCTGAAACGTCTATTCTGTACATTTTTTTATAAAAATAAAAAAAAATATTTTTTTTATTCTTGAGCTATTTGTTGTTGCATTTGTTCCATTTGTTGCATTTGTTCCATTTGTTGCATTTGTTGTTCTTGAGCTATTTGTTGTTGAAGTTGTTCTTGTAATACAATACTTTCACCAGTTGCATCTTCCAATTCGAAACTTTCTGCCGTCATTGACAAATACATAGGACATAAAAGTTTTACAGGAACAAAGTTTGCGTCAACTAATGTCAACGTTATACTTGCCAAAGTGTTTGAGTTCACTAAGGTTGAAAATTCTGCATTCGAATGAACAATAGGCAAACCAGCAGAGAAAGTATTGTTTATACGCATAAGTATCTTTTGGTCATAGTAGTTTCTGTCGACATTCGAATAACACTTTGAACCTAAGTTTGAAACAATATATAAAATAGGTGTACTTAATGTCAATGGAATAGACATTCCTTGTATGACACCTTTTCCTGTTATAGGAAACTGTTGGTAGTAAAAACCAGATATAAGTTTTGTATTATAGCTCATATCGTTTATACTAAACTCAGTCGGACATCCAAACATAATGAAACCTGCTCTAGTTGCAGCACATGTTACATCCGTCCTTAAAGTATTAAATAAGTCAACAAAACCTGTTGGTGGTATATCTGAGTAAGTATCTTCAAAGGAGTATTTTTTACCATTCACAACAATAAAATCTTCTGGTGTCAAAAGAGCAAAACAGGCTTTAGTCGTCATTGTGTTTAAAGTTAGTTTACAATATCGTCCTTGAGGACTTTGTAAGTTTGTTGTTATAGAATTATATGACTCAGGGTTTTTAGTCGTAATAGTATAAACCACTATGTCTTCTGCCATTTACTTAGCAAATAAATTTTAATGAAATGTTGTGGTCGTCAAATATTTTTATAACGTCTGGGAAACTATATTTTAAGTTCAACGTTTCACCTCCTTTCATAACGTATATCTTGTCAATGACATTATATGAAACACCACAGCAACTAACGTCGGGTTCTATTTCTTTGATGTTTATATCGTCTGCCTCTGTCAAAAGTTTCAATAGTTCTTTCAAAACTTCATGAGGTGCAATGACATATGAGTTCACTTTTACAGGGTTGTGTTCGACCAAGTTTAACATTATACCCAAAGCTTGACAAATCTTCTCCTGAGTTTTAAGTTTGTCTTTAAGTTGTTGGTAGTCGTTTCGAATATCTGCAACAGAACTTAAGTCTCTGCTAACTTCAGGATATGTTGGTTGTTCTTTTACAGGAACTATTGTTATACCATCTTGTCTTCGTATGGTTTCCCACTTCAACATCTCTTTCTTTGACATTGACAACAACACTTTGACTGTTTGTTTGAGTTGGTGAATTTAACTTCACATCTGCCACCGCCATTAAACTTTTGAAACACTCACGCTTCTATTTTTCGGAAATGACATTTTACTTAGAATAAAAAGATGGACGTATTCGAGTATCTCTTCGAATTGAAGCAGAACAAAGTTTACACACACAAACAATACAAATACATTGACAGAATAGTTCTTTATACAAACAATGGTAAATGTTATAGAATAGCAATATTTGCTGAACCTAAATATTTCCATAAAGCAAAGAAAGTTGGTATAACGAGATGGTGAAGTTCTTGAAGCAGACAAAAATATAACAACAAAACTGACCGATATTTCTAAAGGTAAGTTTATAATACAATATTATATCAAAACTGGCGTACTGTCAATATTTGACGGAGAGAAGTCAGTTCAAGAACAACTTACTGACCTGCTGCCAAAATCTGCTCGATGGAAGCTGTCGTTATACCAATCTGAGGAGCCCCAGCAGGTTTCATCGAACGAATCTTCAAAAGAGCATCTTCCGTGAAAAGTGCTATTGGTTTGTAAAACTTCTTTGCTTTCAATTCATCTGGACCGTCTCTGTCACCAGTATATTGTATTTGAACTGTACCAACAGTTGAAATACCACCCATAAAGTCTTCTGAGTCAGCAAATGGAATGCCAAGCCAAAAGTTTGAACGGTCTCCATTTGTATATTGAGTTTTTTGAGCTCCTGTATGGGTCCATACTTTCACATATGGCATAATAGAACTTTGCATTTCAGGGTTAATGGTTGTTGTGAAGTTGTTGTTAAAGTTCATAGCATCTAATGTCAAGTTGTATGACCTCATATCCTCAACTGTAGAATATTCTTCTCTTGGATAATATTTGCCATCTATGTTTATATGGTATTTAATACCAGGGTTGTAGAAGCAAGAATAGTCATTTATAGTTCGTCTGAACAGTACAAACATAGTATCTGCATGTTTCATTGCAGTTGTTAAGGCAATATCTGTTCTTGCACCTGGGTCAGCACTTTGGTTTCCAACTTCACTGCAAAGTCTTTGACAGATATTTGGTGTATAGGGAACATAAGTGGAACTGCAATATATTTGGCAGCTAAAGCATTTGAAATATCTGGGTCCAACATATAGACTGCAAGTCTGCTTTCTATTCTCTTGCATTCAAATTTTTCGATGTGAACTTAACTGGGTCCCAAGCATCTCCAGCAGCATTGAAAATAATAGTTTACTTCAGTGTTGAGGTTTGAGAACCAAAGTCTAAGTCAACTTTGTT